TACCAGCTGGTTGTGATGGTTGTGATGTCACATATACAGAAAATGGGTGTTTTGTTGCTTCTGATTGGTCAAACCCATCTACAGGCAGCTCAAGCTCTGTGTTATTAGTTTCATTCTTAACTTAATTTAATTTAAAACTTAAGGCAACATTGTTGATCCTATATTATGCTGCTCTTTCCATTTGGAAATTGCACTCAATTGCACACAAACTGAGATTTTGATATAAAAAAACATTCATTTTTTAACTCTAGATTCTTGCAAACGTATAGTTTGATTCAGTAAATGAGAGGCAGAGCATATTTGGCTATTGTTTTTCATCCTTTTACAGGTCAAACCTCAATGTTTGGAATCAGTGAGAGAGCTCTGTGGTTTTTCCTCTTCAGTAATCCGTTCTGTTCCTCAGACGGGGCCATGCGGCACTGTGGCTCCGAGCCAGGGAATCTCCGACATCCGCATTCGGCGTTCAGTCCAGAAACACGTCACGCAGTAAACAGCAGCACAGCCAATTCCATTACAGCAGCCAGTTAAAGTCAATCTCTCTCGCTCTCTCACTCTCTCTCTCTCAGTTGGGTTACTTCATTAAAGCACTGGAGCTACGTACTTGTAAGTAACAAGTAATTGAAGCTTATACCAGTCAGGATCATACGAACTGCATCTTTAAACTGCCCTCTTGCTTCATTTGCAGTGCCTATAAGCTTCCATTCCCTCCAGTGCAAAACAAAAGTAGCACTTCAGCCACCAGACGTCCTCATAAAATATCTCCTCTTCTACTTACAAACTCAAATGTGGTCTTGATTGAAAGTTTACAGTCTGTACTTTCCACACAATTTCTCCCCTTGTTTGAATGAGCTACGAGTCAGAAATTGTTCAACACAACGTAAGACGAGGCGTTTTGAGGCGACCGTATCTTAAGGGGCTCAATGGGGTTAAATATTGAGTTCACAGAACAGAGTCTCTTCCCTCGCCTGTCATCTGGAGGGTCTCCAGTGTTACAGGGAGATTAATTTGTAATCACTTCATGCTGCTTGTGGAGCCGTGGAGGCGCAACATTCCTCCTGAGGGTGCCAAGAGCAGAGGCTGTTAGCATTTAGCTTTAGCAGCCTGTGCTGTGACACGGCCTTTGTGTTAGTGAGGCATTCATCAGCACTGAGCACGGCGATGACATCATCCAGCCTGGCACGAGAGAGAGAGAAGAGAAGAGAGGGGGATGTGGAAAGAGAGAAATGGGCAAAGAAAAAGAGGGAAAGACAGAGCAAGAAAGTGAGTGAGAAGGGAAGAGGGAGAAAAAATAGGTGATAGAAAAGACTGGGATAGAGACAAAAAAAGCGAGAGAGTAAAAAGAAAGGAGAGAAAGAAAGAGAGGGAGACAGAAAAGAGTGAATAGAGACAGGGACAGAGACAAAAAAGCAAAAGAGCAAAAAGAAAGGAGAGAAAGAAAAAGACGGAGAGAGAAAAGGGGGAATAGAGACAGAGATAGAGACAAAAAAGCAAAAGAACGAAAAGAAAGGAGAGAAAGAAAGAGAAAAGGAGAAATAGAGACAGGGATAGAGACAAAAGAGCAAAAAGAAAGAAGAGAAAGAAAGAGAGGGAGAGAGAAAAGGAGATAAAAGAAATAGGACAAGAGATGGGGACAGACAAAAAAGCGAAAGTAGGAGAGAAAGGGAGAAAGAAAGAGAAAATGGGAGATAGAGACAGGGATAGAGACAAAAACGTGAAAGAGCGAAAAGAATGACAGAAAGAGAGGGAGAGAAAAAGGAAAGAAAGAGGGGAGAGAGAGAAAAAAGCAAAGGATTAAATGAAAGAAGGAGAGACCTGGTTAGGAGATGAGAGGAGGGAAAGAGGGGGATTTGTTGGGAAGGATAAGTGAAGGGGTCTATTGGGAGGTGGGTGGACAGAGCATAGGAGAACAGGAAGAGGAGGAGGGAGAGGGAAGGAAGGGATGGGGTGAAAAAGAGGGATAGAAAGGAGGGGAAGTTGACTGATGTAGCAGAGACAGAGAGAAAGGGAGGACTCAGACGGGACTCTGTGTCTCCTGAAGGTTACATCAGCCATGAGCAGTGAAAGAGTTTGTGATGGATTGAGGGTTTGAAAGAGGGGAGATCGGCTGCTCTCTCTCTCTCTCCCTCTCTCTCTCTCTCTCTCCCTTCCTCTCTCTCTCTCTCTCTCTCTGTGGGAATGTTTGGCTTCCTATCTGTTGACTCACTCAGAGGCCGTCTGCCTCAGGAGGTGCTGGACAGTCGTGTGTGTGATCTGCATCAGAGCACTGAATCGCTATTTTTCCACTAAAGAGTTTGATTTTAAGAATTGTGAATGAAATTCAGGCTGCTTCAAAGCCTAAAAGCCCCATTTCTTACACCCACATTTTTCTTGAATTTTATTTTTTCAGGCCCACCTGTGACATTTGTGTGGTTTATGTATCAAAAACAGTCGTATTTCATTTTCACATGACTGTTGTACGAGCTGTAGTGAAGTTGCAAACTTTGCAAACTTTGCAAGATCGTAGGACCTATACCCCATTAGGTTGCTTGTGCTTTTTTAAGCGATCCGATTTTGTACATTTTTGTAAAACAACCGTTCCAAGGCAATATTAAGGTGGTAGTAAATTTAAGGTGGCACTGGGTTTAAGGTAAAATTTCATTTAAGGTGGCAGTGGATTTAAGGTATCAGTAAATTTAAGGTGGCAGTGCATTTAAGGTATCGGTAAATTTACGATGTCACCGAATTTAAGGTGGCAGTAAATTTGAGGTGGAACTGGATGTAAAGTATCAGTACATTTAAGGTGGCACTGAATTCAAGGTTGGTAAATTAAGGTGGCACAGAATTTAAGGTATCGGTAAATTAAAGGCGGCACTGATTTTAAGGTAGTAATGGATTTAAAGTGGCAGTGGATTTAACAGCAGAGCAACCACCTAGCAACACTTAAGCAGCATCCTGGGTCACCGCAGCAATCGCCTAGCAACACTGTACTAACCACTTTGAATACCATAGCAACTGCCTAGCAACATCTAAGCAACACTTTAGCACCCATCAGTAGTCTACCACCATTTAACATTGTAATGTAATTATCTGGCTTACAGTTCCTTCACAAACCTCCCCTTTTAGTTCTCCTTTAAAATCAAACAGGCTGTTTTGTCACTGTGCCTTTAAGACTGATATATGTAAATGAGCTCTGTTCTGATTGGCTGTCCTGTATGCACTTGATTAAAAAACCAGTCCATGCTGAAACTCATCACATCAGCGTGGCAGGGTAAACAGATGTAGGCTGAATTTGTGACATCACAACAACAAAGAATCCAAAACAGGCTGTTTTTGTAGCTTAGTTTCAATACACTGACTGTGGACTGGGTGAAACCTTGAAGCATATATTTAAAAAAGTGAGCTAATGGGACTTTTAATTTGTAAAAGATGAGTTCCAGGAACACTGAGTAGTGATGGATCTGGCAGATCGATAGGATGGGGGAGGTCCAGGGGGGAAAACAGGGTCAGATATGCAGCTCAGTGTGAGTTTCCCCATAACGTTGGACCTTAACGTGTTAATGAGGCTCTTAAGGACCCAGAGAACCCTAAATACCTGTTTTCTTTCTAACTAGGTTAATCTTGCTTTTGTGGGAACAAAACATACTGGGACAAATTATGTGCTGGGAATAACTTTCCAATGTCCACTATGTGTTTGGCCAACATTCTGTTCTTTCAGTGTAAACCAGGCAGTTTTAGGCCCAGTCCCATTCCTTATTATTACCCCTACCCCTTGTTTTCAAGTGTCACTTTGCCCCTCAGAACTGAGTTACAAGGGGTAGTGGTTGAAATCTTCCCTATGAAATGGGACCCTCAGATAAAAAGAACATTATTTCATTAACAGCTACTAGACGACAATTATTCATTATCACCCACCCCTAATTCTTCGTTGATCTGAAGCTGAAGTCAGATATTCACCAGATTCTTGTTCAGATTTTCCCATTCCACCTTAATGGTCCATTTAAGGTGGAACAGGAAATTTAGCTAGCTAGCTACCGAGACATCAGCAAACTACTAGCGATTTTTTAATGTTTGTTATGTAAAAAAGGACCATAATACACTGAAACGACATTAAACTAAGAGAATACAATGATTATCATAGTTTTAAACAGAGAAAATTCTCCCATTTGTGTGTTTCTTTGGTCGCTGGTTTTTCTTTTTTTTCCACTGTTTGGAGTGAGTTTCTGAAAACGCTCCATTCGGAGGGCCATGTAGCCCGAACACTTCGCCCACTTTTTCAGTAATTAACACTGTGTTCCTGGGACTCAAACTGTCTCACTGATGCAAACAGTGTCACTCCATACAGGCTGTGTCCCCATTCAGGGGCTGCATCCTTCAAAGGCTGCGTAGACCCGCGAAGGCTGAACCGAAACGAGGCGGTCTGCTCTACAGCGGATTTCCTGTTTGCGTTACAGCCCCGCTGTTCCCGCCTTTAACGTTGCGTCACGAAACGCTGCTCTGGTCAAGTTCTTTTAAATTTTGGAGCTACAAACTTTGTTTTCTTTTTTTTTTTCACTTATTCCCTCTGTCGGCTCCTTGCTCCCTAAAACAAAACAAAACTTTAGCGTAAGTTTTGCTTCAGACCACATTTATTGGCTTTTAAAAAAAATTGTATCGTTCACTATTTGACTCAGTTTAAACCCAATACTTATATTTAAAGTGTCTCCTCAGCCGCCGTTCGCTCCTCTGCTGACGCCGCCATGTTCTCGAATCCTTGCTGGCACACAGTGAACCTCAGGACATGTTGGCTGGCGAAGGATGACGCATTTCTCAGCTGCATATAAAGGAGCCTTCGAAATGGGGCAGCCTAGTCGCACCGCTGCGATGCAGTCGGCCTTCAAATGCAGCCTCCGAAGGATGCAGCCCCTGAATTGGGACACAGCTATAGTTTACGTTTTACTCTATATATTATCAGGTCTCCTCTATAAAGCAGTAGAGCGGTGGGCGGTCTGAGCAGGGTGTTCTCTCTCTGGTCCTGTACGCAGGCGTATGGCCAGGCCCACTCCAACCAGCGGAAGGTTGCGGCGGACGGAGAGAGCCGGGAGGAGTCCCTGATCCTGGAGTCGGCGTCTAAAGAAGCCTTCTACGAGCAGAGGGTCCAGGATCTCCAGGCCGAGCTGCGGCAGGCCAGAACCACAATGACCAGCACGCAGAGCGAAAACGAACGACTAGCCACCCTCGCCCTGGAGCTGAGGGAGGTGAGTGGGGCTTTGTGTGGGGGGTCAGAGCAGTAAGCTACACAGTTATGAGCCCAGCCAGACTGATTAGCAGGTTATAGACAGCTGTGTGCAAAAGTTTGAGCGCCCTGGTCAAATTCTATGTGGTGTTCTATGTTTTAATGCACAGTTGCTGTGTATTCAGTGGATTTAACATACTGGGAGGAAAGTAAGGCATAACATGTGGCCTGTGGGAAAGTTATGGCACGTTATATATGTGCAAATAAATAGGAATTATGTACTAAAATGTAAGAGTGTTCTCTGTAAAGGACGTAATAACTTATTTTCACTGAGAAAATCAAACATGTCATCTGACCAATCTAGAGTTATTACTGTTGTTTCGCTCTGCTACTTATATTTAACTACCACTGAATGTATTAAAGTCATTATAGGAAAGTCTGTCCACTCAGTGGCCATCTTGGCAGCACAGCCGGGCAGTTATTTCCAGTCATACAAGAATACAAGACCAGACTCCTCTCTCTTCGAGGATGTTGCTGATAAACAGACACCATGTTGAACATTCATATTTCAACCACTGACCATCTCCTCCTTCAAAACATCTCTAATTGGTTGCACAATTTTTTTTGGAGAATTTTCTTTTTATTGAGTCTTTTGAAAAGGCAAAGAAATTACAAAATTGGCATTGTATCAAACGATTGTATCAGTACCTCAATTATTACAACAATCATGACTATAAACTAAAACATCTAAACTTTTGACTTTCCTTAAAATTAGGATCCCAAATTCGCACATTTTTTCATCAAGTTTAGATCATAATATCTCAGATATCTCAGTATTTCAGATCTCCTCTGTGTACAAACTTAAACGCTGTGGACTGATAGTTTAGAATCTGCACTGTCCACGCAGTTTCTCTGCTCGTTTCAATGAGACACGCGTCACAAATAATTCATAGAAAATTACTGTGTTATTATTGCTAGTGGAAAGTGCTAAAGGGTAAAATTTCATGTGTAAAGTCGTACACTAAACCCTCCCTCTCTCCCCCTCTCTCTCCCTCTCTCTCTCTCTCCCTCTCTCTGTCTCTCTCTCTCTCTCTCTCTCTCTCCCTCTCTCTCTCTCCTCTGTCTCTCTCTCTCTCTTTCTCTCCCTCTCTCTCTCCCTCTCTCTCTCTGTCTTTCTGTCTCTCTCTCTCTGTCTTGCTCTCTGTCTCTCTCTCTCTCTCTTTCTCTCCCTCTCCCTCTCTCTCTCTCTGTCTTTCTGTCTCTCTCTCTCCCTCTCTCTGTCTATCTCTTTTTCTCTCCCTCGCGCTCTCTCTCTCTCTCCCTCTCTCTCTCTCTCTCTTTCTCTCTCTCTCTCTCTGTCTCTCTTTCTCTCCCTCGCACTCTCCCTCTCTCTCTCTCTCTCTCTCTCTCTCTCTCTCTCTCTCTCTCTCTCTGTGTGTCTCTCTCTCTCTTTCTCTCCCTCGCGCTCTCTCTCTCTCTGTCTCTCTCTCTCTCTCTCTCTCCCTCGCGCTCTCTCTCTCTGTCTCTCTCTCTCTCTCTCTCTCTGTGTTCTAGAGTAATGAGCTGGTGGAGCTGCAGCGCGCTCGTCTGCGTGATGATATCAGGGAGTATAAGGTTCGAGAGTCGCGTCTGCTGCAGGACTACACTGAGCTGGAGGAGGAGAACATCAGTCTGCAGAAACAAGTCTCACTGCTCAAACAGGGACAGGTGAGGCAGGACGGAGGACTTCGTCCACTAACTGGACACACAGTTATCAGATTTAACCCCCTAAATTTCACACTTATTATTCAGTCACAAGTAAGTCTTCTCACTTATTCAGAAACTGTTGTGTGGGTGTTCTTACAATAGTGATGGATCTTTAGAGTTTAAAGAGTTACATTTCCTGAATGTACAACATCAGGCAAAATGTAGTTATAAACAAATTGCATGTAGTAGCAGTGCTGATGCTGGTCCTGGAGGTCTACCACACCTGATGCAGGTAACGAAGGCCTTCAGGGGCATCTGAATAGAGCCCGGTGTGTTGGATCTGAACTGTGCAGGATGGCAGATCTCCGGGACCAGGACTGAGCACCTCTGGCATAGACACAAAGTTCTGCTCCGAGAGAATCATATGCAGACCTTTATAGCTGCCACTAACATGTTTTCCATCCATATATTTTAATGTATATTTTGCTACATTGAATAAAAAAGCCTTGATGGAAACAGCAGATATGGAATGAAAGAATTTGTATAAAAGTTTGTACCCTCGTTTGAGATGGGTACGTTTTTTTTGCAGATAAAATAAAAGAATTAGCATTAATGTTGTGGAATAAACTGGATTAAGAACTGCATTCATAAAGGCAAACATGGATCTGTTTGTGAAGTGTATTTGATAAGCATGTGTCATTGTAGCCTTAAGAAGTTTTCCAAAGTTCGAGTCCTTTTAGCCATTTTTAAATGGAAATAATAAACTGTATTATTATATTACATTATATTAAAATGATATAATAATGCTGTTATACTGGACAGACATTTCTGCTGACTGCAGCTATAATTACAGACATGGAACAGGAAGCAGTGGCTCACAAGACAGTGACGATGCAAAAATCACAGTTTCCAGATTTGGTTCCCGTTTTTTCTTTTCAGTGCTTTTCCTTTAGGGCCGTAAATGCAGGTCGTGATTCAGCACTGATCGTTATTACTGTATATTACGGTTTTATTTTTTGGGCAAAATAAAATTCTTGGGCTGTTTTCAAACATAAAAATCCAAAAAAATGCTTAGTGTGCAGTTTTTAATGCTTTCCACCTCTGTGTAAAAGGTTCCTTCAGTAACGTATTGTACACACTTAAAAATGATGGTTCTTCAAGGGTTCTTTAGTAAATAAAATATTCTATAAAGAACCATGAACACTCAAAGAACCCTTTGCATCATATAAGCGTTCTTCAGACTGATGGGGAATGTGCTGTAGATGGTTCTATGTAGAACCTGTTTGAATATGGTTTTATATAGCACCCAAAGGTGTTCTTCTATTGTTACGACGTCAAGCTTGTAACAATAGAAGAACCCTCTTGGGTCCTATATAGAACGCTTTTCAGAAAGGTTCTGTATAGAACCATCTATGCACGTTTTCCATCAATCTGAAAAACCTTTTCATGATGCAAAGAATCTTTTAATCTTGCAAAGGGATGTTTAAGTGTTCATGGTTCTATACAGAACCATTGTCTTTACTAAAGAACCCTTGAAGTGCCATCGAATGTATATTCAGTCTGTGTATTCATGCAAAGAACACTTTAATCATGCAAAGGGTTCCTTGAGTGTTCATGGTTCATGGTTGAAGAACCCTTGAAGAACCATCTTTGAGAGTATATATTCAGTGTATTTTTAAATATAATTCTGAATCAGACCAAAATTATTGAGTTATTGAAAATGATCGACTCATTATGAGTCAGAGATTCACACTTTTTCACCCTGTACGTTCTGTGTTTCGTCCCTGTCTGATGCTCCGAGTGCAGGTGGAGTTCGAGGGTTTGAAGCATGAGATCCGGCGGCTGGAGGAGGAGGCGCAGTACCTCAACAGCCAGCTGGAGGAGGCTATCCGGCTGCGAGAGATCGCCGAGCGCCAGCTGACCGAGGCGCTGGAGACGGTCAAGACGGAGCGTGAGCAGAAAGCGGCTCTGCGGAAAGAGTTGACCAATCACATGACCCTCGGAGACTCGCTCCTAGCTAGCTCGCTGGACACATTCAAACTGGGCCTGGACGAGCCTAATAACGACGAGGCCGTCCGCGCCTTCGAAAATGGCTTCGCTAAGATGGTGGACAGCGATGAAGACAACAGGTCGTCCACTCCGAAGAAGGGAGAGAGGTTCCGGCCGGCGCCCAGCCTGGTGGATGATCTGCTGAGCGAGCTGAACATCTCGGAGATCCAGAAACTCAAACAGCAGCTCCTGCAGGTGGCGTATAAAGGAATAATGCTGCAAAAATCAAATTTACGTAGTTTTCCCGCTTACCTGAAAAGCAGCTCATCAGCCAAGACATATTGATGACTGAAGTTCGTCTCTTTACTGCAGACACAGTTTTTATGGACAGATTATGCTCTTCATTTGATATCTTGGACAAAAATGTTGACGCTTCTGTCCTTTTCCCTTGCTTTGTCTCTTTGTTCTTCTCTTTCGCTTTTGCTTTCTCTCTCAGGTGGAGCGAGAGAAGGTGGCCCTCCTGTCCACTCTGCAGGAGTCTCAGAAGCAGTTGGAGCATGCTCGCGGGACACTGGCGGAGCAGCAGGAGGCGATGGTGAGGCTGAGCGATGACCTGGGCGCCATGCGGAGGCTCCATGCTGGAAAAGAGCGTCAGTCTGCGCTGGACAGCGAACGTGAGCGGGACAGCCGCGAGGAAGGAGACGTGGATTATTACGAGCTGGACATCCACGGCCCGGAGATCCTGCGCTGTAAATACGAGGTGGCTGTAGCTGAGGCTGGCGAGCTGAGGGAGGAGCTAAAGGTGCTGAAGGCGGAGCATGAGGAGGTGAGGCGGGGCTTCAGGTCTGGTTACACTGGAGGCCAAAAAGGGGCTTGTAAGCAATACTAACTGTATTAACCCCTTAAAATCCCAGGCTTATTACATACTAAGGCTTATTATTCTGTAACTACGGGGACTTCAGTGCAAATTGGTTGAGCTATTCCTAGGATATAGAAGTGTGTAATAAGACTTTGGCCTGCCGTCAGGCTCTGGCCATTAAATAAACATGATAATCTTATTTTTCCTCTGGATAACAGACAGATGTGTTTACTAACTAGATCTGTTTACTAGTTCAGAATGGAAAGGTTGGTTCTAAATGTGTTCACTGCTATAAGTGAGTTCAGCTAGAGTTTCACTGAGGCTCTAATCACATCCACCTGATATTCCTGAAGGCTTAATTAACAGAATTAGGTGTGTTAAATTTGGAATTAAGCTAGTGTAATAGATGTTCCAGAGTGGCCTTCACTGCCATCTGGTCCACACTGTCCACTCTGCTGCATTCTTGTTTTATTGCTAAAATAATCCCAGGCCAACTGTGAACAGTGTTATTTTAGATCAGTCCAAGAAATGACTAGAAATGAATAATTATCTTCATGTTGTTCCCCCAAAAAAATAAATGTTGGATAAAGAATCTAAAAATACATTCTGGCTTTATAACATTTCAAAGTTTTTAACGTACAGCATAATAAATGTTTTACTATCCTTCATTTCACAGGTGAGGGCAGAGCATGCGGAGGTCCAGGAGCGGCTGGAGAGCCAGGTGCGTGAGCTGAGCACCCAGGTGTCCCAGCTGGAGAGCGGAGGCCGAGCAGATCGGGAGCAGCTGGCCCGGCTGCAGAGGGAGCTGCAGGAGGCCAGTGCGCTGGCGGGCGAATCGCAGGGGGCACTTAGCGTGGCTCAGGACGAGCTGGTGGCCTTCAGCGAGGAGCTGGCCAACCTGTACCACCACGTCTGCATGTGCAACAACGAAACGCCCAGCCGCGTCATGCTCGACTTCTACAAAGAGGGTAAAGGTGCTGACGGCAAAGCAAACCGTCCAACTTCCACTCAGACGCCCGCTGGCTCAGATTCAGCCGCCGTCTCGGAGTCCTCAACCAACGCCACAGACAGCGCCCCCGCTGGCCCAGCGCGGGAAGACTCCAAAAAAGAGCCGATGGACGTTTATAACCTGGTGGCCATCATCCGGGACCAGATCCGGCACCTCCAGCAGGCGGTGGACCGCACCACTGAGCTTTCCCGGCAGAGAGTGGCCTCTCTGGAGCTGACCACTGTGGCTGATAAAGACCAGACGGCCTACATGGAGGAGATCCTGAAGCTCAAATCCCTGCTGAGCACCAAACGAGAACAGATTGCCACACTGAGGACCGTGCTCAAGGCCAACAAGCAGGTGAGGCAGAGAGTGTGTCAGCATGAGTGCGGCAACACCCGTATCTATATACACTGACTAGGGGTGTAGGAATGCTCAGCACTGGGTTTAAGGCCAATGAACAGGTGAGAATGAGCGCTGAGGCATGTTTAACACATGCATACTGCCACGGCGTGAGCCACACAGCAAAGCGCGGTAAAAAAAGCTAAAAAACCAAGAAAACAAAAGAAGAACTAGACAAAGTCAAAACGCAAATTCTTTTACAAGAATTCTTTTTAAGCAAAGTAACTGATATAACCTGGTTTTCATTCATACTGAATATTATTATTATTATATACAGACAGAGATTTTCCACACAAAAGTGCAGGAGACCCCTGAGACGCATTTAGAACAGATTTTAATCTGATCACTCAAACCACTTCAGGCCACGTTAGACAACCAAAGATCCTCCCTATACATTGACTCCTCCGTCTGCTGTTCTGAATATGGGGAAACTCCGCCCCCTGGGCTGCCACCACTGAACAGAGACATCACTGCTCCTTCTGTTAAGCTCCTGACGCGAGTTTCTCCTCTGACAATAAAATAAAGTTTATTTTAAAAAAAAATTAAAATAAAGCATGAGTTTGGTTTACCTTCGCCTCGTTTGTCTCGCTACAACACATTACGTTCTAACACGCGGTTTATGACCCTGATGACGAATAAAAGTGGCTAATTATTCTAAACAGCTGCCCTTCTTGTAAACGTGTAAAGATGGAAGGCCGGTGTAACAACAATACCATACAAAATTGTGACTGTCAAGGTGATAAACACTAAAAAATTGTCTTTACTTATAAAAGTAAGTTGCAACAAAAATTTTGAGTAATAATAAGTTAAAAAAATGTAAAACATTTTTGATTTCATTGAAGTTCAGTGAGTTTTTTATTGCAGCCCAGTTACTTAATTTTTAAAATGAAGACACCAGGAGACTGAAGGAAACAAACAAACAGCACTATTTCCCAGATTCATTATTATTTAGATGATTTGTGTTGGATTTTGACGCTTTGTTGTAGATTTCTTGAATGTTTTGGGTTTTTCGTCCAAGATTTTCAGCATTTTTTCTCTTTTGTCGGCTGAAATGTTTCAGTGACCAGAACCCGTCCTCTTCTGGTCAACACCAAGTTTCAAGTGTACTTGAAACGATCAGAGACTGTGTGTGTGTGTGTGTGTGTGTGTGTGTGTGTGTGTGTGTTGTGTCTGTAAGAGTGTGAGTGTGCTCAAGGCCATGAAACAGGTGAGGAGGACAGTGTGAGTTGGTGTGTAAGTGTGCCAAGTTAGACTGAGAGTGTTTCCTGGCTCAGCATGTTGGCCGGACCAACAGTTGGCGTGTTTCAAAGCCTGAAAATAAGTGTGGGTCAGATGGCGTTTTCCACCCAGCAGTACGGGACGTTACAGTACCTGAGTAACCGTGCGGAACTTGGTTATCCTTTCACTGGGTTACAAGCACACACAGCCAACTGTATGGGTGGAGCTAGAAATGATGCAAACCGCTGATCAAACGCACTCGTCACAGAATAATCACACGGTGTCAGGAGACCTGGGTGACCTCCATTAAAAAAATACATAAATAAAAAGTAGTGGTAAGAAGTAAATCAGAAATAGTGACTGGCATTTTCTGTGTCCGCTTAAAAAACCAAGTATCTCCAAAAAGTAACTTTATAGGAGAAGAAAAAATGTTGTAAAAAGATTTTATTCTTTATTCTGTTGATCCATTTATCATGAATGTTTCACACGAAGGACCCTTACTGTGATCACATGATGCAGAAAAATAAAAATATGAAAAAATAGAGATACATGTTTTGTTTTTTGGACAGCGACAGTATGGCTGCTTTTCCACTATGGAGCCAAATGGTTCTCAGGGTCATACTGGGCCATTCCGCGCTGGTCCGGACTCGTGAGACCGGTTAGTTTCCGTCTGTTGTATCGCTAAATCAGAACCAGGAAATACCCAAGAAGACTACATCAAAGAGTGGCTAACTGCTAGCAGGCTAACAGCCACGCACACACCACCCACCACAACACACGTCTGATTCCGTCTATCACTCCAACTCCAGTCTCTCTCGCTGTGCTCTCATCTGCTTTATCCTCTAAATGGGTGTTATTTGAACATCAGTTACTGAAACACCCTGTACCGTGGTGGGCTTCACCTGTAGCCGGATAACTAGCTACATCTGCTATCTAGATCTCTCCAGTCACGCAGTACTACTAGCGCTAGGATGGTGAAGACTAGAACCTCCTCCAAATCTTGTGAAGCTCCACCACTTCTTTATGAACTTCATATAGTGCATCGCAATAGGACACCTCAACACGCTTGGAGGAGAACACTAACTGCCAGTTCTGTTACATGAGATAACAAACGCCCACGTCTCAGAGGAAGACTGGGTTGGCCGTCTGACCTTCCCAGAGAGAGCGAGGACTATTGTGCTCTTTTGGATTCCTGGTTACGGACGGCTGTGACATCACCAGGGATAAAACTTGTGATCTCCTGATGACAGGGCCAACGCGTAGAAGGCTCATTTTAAAGCTTAGTAGCTTTTGAAGGAGAAATATTAGATAAGTATCAGCTGAAACTCAAGATTACAATGTTTTGATAAGTTTTAATATTGCGTTTGTGTGTTATTGTGTAGGTTATGTTATAAGTTATAACTCTGAGCTCTCTCATGTTGTTCTGACTAAAACTGTCTCCCTCCTGCAGACGGCAGAGGTGGCCCTGGCCAATCTGAAGAGTAAATATGAGAACGAGAAGACTGTTGTCACAGAGACGATGATGAAGCTGAGGAATGAGCTGAAGGCTCTGAAAGAGGACGCAGCCACCTTCTCCTCCCTCAGAGCCATGTTCGCCACCAGGTACACATACATAGTCTGATGCAGAAGGTAATGAATACAGGTGTGATATTAGAAAGCTAGTGGGAAAAACAGCCCATCTTCAAGTATCCACACCAAAGCAGTCGCGGTTTCTTCCCACCTTCGAGAAACATCATCAGATGGGGGTTTTCCTAGTATTTAAACCAGAAAATCTCGCTCTGCTCTGCCGTAGGAGGGGAGTAGGCATGTTTACAACTGATGTAGTTATGGTTATGTTGGTTATATGGATATTTGGTTGTTAGTGACTGAATGTACGCTGCCGTTCAGGCACTAACAACACAGGAACTGAGCGTCTGTCTGCACCTACGCAAAATATACTCAAGGAATATTATTTTAAAATGGTATGTTTACGTTTTTATTGGCACTTTTATATTTATTATTATTATTATTTATCATTTATTAAACTGCGCTATTTGTGAATAGTCTGTTACAACTCCCAGTCGTAATCACGTAAATATTTTATTACCGTGTAAATAAATTATCATCACCTTCATGTGCAGTATCATAGCTGCTACATTCTTTTATACTCACCCTTTTTTTATATTACTTAATCATTTTAAATTATATAGTTTTTTTTATTATTTTTATATATTTTTCCTTTTAATACCTTGCATTTCATATTAGCTTATATCTTTCTTTTATTCCTAGTTTAAGGTTTTGTTTTTTTTTGTTATTGTACTGTTTGGGTTGCTGCCCAGTTTCATAGTGTTGTGTGCAGTGACAAAGTATCTTATCTTATTTTGAGTGGCTCTTTAATTAATCTCAAGTAGACTTGATTATGAAGTCATACCGTATGAAATACAGTACAGACTGGCCAGGATTTAGGCTACAAATGATGGGTGCTGCTGTTTTTAGCTACACCACATACTTTCGTCATATTTTATTGATAACAGTTTGTCACAGTGTCAGAAACACCACAGTGTTTGAAAGGCCGGCGACAGATGTCTTAACATTTTTCCGAGTCTAAGTGGAATGAGCCGTATGAGTTGAATTTGCCTTTTTAATCAAAGTAAAAAATCGGTTTTGTATGGTCTGTAATTGTTTAATTGGTGAGTCTTTCATCTTTTGAGACTTCTTCATAAATGTTGGTTAAATAAAGGGCATTTAATAGTCTCTCCTCCTCTCTCTGTAGGTGTGATGAGTACGTGACTCAGCTGGATGATATGCAGAGGCAGCTGGCGGCGGCGGAAGATGAGAAGAAGACGCTGAACTCGTTGCTCCGCATGGCCATCCAGCAGAAGCTGGCTCTGACCCAGCGTCTGGAGGACCTGGAGTTCGACCACGAGCAGTCTCGCAGAGGCAGTAACCCTGCCGCCCGGGGAAAAGGGCCTTTCTCACGGGGAAAAGGGCCGGCCTCGTCCTCCAGTCCGTACGTAAGTCCCAGACTGGCCTGCAGAAGCCGCCCACAGCCCCAGGGCATCGTGGGTAGCCCTATGGTTAGCCGAATGGGTAGCCCCTTGTTTAGCCGAACGGGTAGCCCTGTGGTTAGCCGAACGGCTAGCCCTGTGGTTTTCTGCAGTGAGAAGTATAAGATCCTGTGTGACATCTGAGGCTGATTAACCATCTACCATCTGTTCCAATCCATCGCTGCTTCCTGGCTGAACCTCACTAACCATCCACCCTGCAACGTGTTTCATCGCTCAGTGCAACTAACCATCTCCTGACCCCAGTTCACTGCCGCTTCATTGCTGAGTTTGACTACTAATCGTCTACCTTGTGTGCTTAATGGCTGTTTTCATCACTGAGACCAACTAACCATCCACTAGATCCACCAGAATGATTTCATGTTTTTGTGGCTGCTTCAACACATCTGGCATTCGCATCCCTCACTAACACTGTTGTGGATCAGTTTGTGTCGCATTGCTGCAACATCCTACAAAACTGAGATGTGTGTGTTCTTTAAAAAGCATGGACCAGCAAAGTTTTCACAAGAGAGAAGGATCTTTCATGTTGAGGATGTCACATCCCATTTAACAGGATTAAATACAGATTAAATATTGTTTAAAGGTTGCGAGTTTGAATTCCACAAAGCCACAAAACATTACCAGGAAAGATATGCTAATAATGTACTGAGTTTTAAGTGTGAACACACTAACACACGAACTGTAATACACTACAGGAAGTGTAGGGGGCGATATGGCTTCTACTGTTTCATTTAAAAAGCCTCTATAATGTTCATATGATCGACACAGTCATTCTGACAGACTGTAATACACTACAGGAAGTCTAGGGGGCGATATGGCTTCTACTGTTTCATTTAAAAAGCTCTATAATGATCATATGATCCACACAGTCATTCTGACAGACTGTAATACACTACAGGAAGTGTAGGGGGCGATATCACGTCTGTTGCATTGCATCATAAAAGAGAACAGTCTTTGTTGTATAGACAACGATTTGTGTGATGGTGGTCCTGTGACAGGGCACAGTGATGGTGGTCCTGTGACAGGGCGAAGTGATGGTGGCCCTGTGACAGGGCAGAGTGATGGTGGTCCTGTGACAGGGCGAAGTGATGGTGGTCCTGTGACAGGGCGAAGTGATGGTGGTCCTGTGACAGGGCGAAGTGAAAAAAATGTCAATCATAATGGTTCGATTTATCAATTAGTTAAATACTAATCAGTAAGTTAATCGATTATAGACATAATAAATAGTCGCAGCCCTAAGGGTTTGAGTGTTTGATAGCATGTTGACCATGCTTCTGATTTTTGATCATAATAATTGTTGACAGTGGTTTGAAAAAGTGTTGACCGGTCAGATGGAATATATTCTGATTTCTGACCAGTTTTGTCGTCTCTTTTACAGTGGTTGAGATTAGCATTGAGCTGGTCCTTCATCAGTGCAGTAAGAGTAGTTCTACCCAGAGTTAAGTTAGATTTTCTGTACGTTTTGTGTTTCTCTGTGGTGACCCACATCTATCAGCTCACAGTGGGCACACGCTCGGGCCTGTGTGGGTAATTCCTTAGCATTAGCCTGCTAATCTCTCAGCTGAGTGTCAGTGGGAATAAGTCGGTGTAATCCTGAGGTCAGACGTCCTTTACTGAGGCTGATCCTGCTGTACCATTTACAGCCAGGGCTAAAACGATGGGCCACACAGTTAGAGCCAGGATATCTCATGTTCTTGTCTAACAGCTTCAGATAGTTAAATTGAGAATATTCTCCACATTTAAACCCATTTTATGGAAATAATTATATTTTTATTGGTGATTCTTGATTGAAATTCCTTTGTTAAGCTGCAGGACAGTTGAGTATTTTGCCATTTAATCTTTTCAACCATAATGTGAAGTGGAGAACCCTTACTGTACACTTACTGTACAGGCGAGACTAGATTTAATTTGTCTTTCATCTCCAGTGGAGAAGGTTGCTGGATTAAGCCTCTCTGAGGGTTCTTCAGTGAAGGCAAGAGGCCACTAGTTCTACCTACTCTTAAAAGAAGATGGTTTTTCAACGGTTCTTTAGTAAAGAAAATGGTTCTGTATAAAACCATGAACACTCAAAGAACCTTTTGCATGGTCAAAGGGTTCTTTGCGTTGTGAAAATGTTCTTCAGATTGATGGAGAATGTGCTGTAGATGGTTCCATATAGAACCTTTCTGAAAATGGTTCTATATTGCACCAATAAGGGATCTTCTATTATTACAGTGTTAAGCCTGTAACAATAGGAGAACCATTTTTTGGTGCTACACATTTTAAAAAGGTTCTATATAGAACTGTAGACAGCACATTCTCCATCAGTTTGAAGAACGCTTTCATGCTGAGTGTTCATATAGTTCTGTATAGAACCATTTTCTTTACTAAAGAACCCTCAAAGGACCATCTTTTGTAGAACCATTTGCATGTTCAGATGGTTCTCGGCATGGTGAAATGGTTCTTCAGGTTGATGGAGAATGTATATGTATATGGTTCTATATAGCACCAAAAAGGGTTCTTCTATTGTTGCAAGCTTGACATCATAACAGTAGAAAAACAAACATATATATATATATATATATCAATTATAATGTTTTGTCCTTTATTGAGTTCCATGTTGTACATAAATAACCACCATTCCATAAAAACTCATTCTGCATGTTTTCTGTTACAACTGTATGTCACTCATCCACTCCCTGCCAGCCAGTTGCATGATGGGAAACTGAGTCTCTGGTGATGTGTGGTCCATTAACCTGTCTGGTCCTCTTGTTGTCATGGTAACTGTGTCTGTGTACATTTTGTGCGTCTGTCTGTATATTTATTTAGTAGATTTATCACATTTTTCCTATAGTTGTAATTATAAACATAATGAATGAAGTGTTTAATGTTACTAATATAACTATGACGATTCTAACTGATGTATTTCTCAATCTTACAGTAATTTTAGTTGCCAAGGAGAAAAGTGGTTAGTCCCTGACTGCAAAAGCAAATCGTCCTGCCAGTGACAGTCCTGCTCCAGAACGCTTCAGACTTCACGCAGTTCCTTCCCTGACTTAGACATGCAGGCAAATGAGCTTAATAATGATGTCATTATTATTATTATTATTATTATCATTATTAAGGCCATGCAGTCCAGTTCACAGTATTGTCAACACTTTTGTTTTCTTCTTTATTGGTTTAAATTTTTCCTCTTTAGTTTAACTGCACTTTTGGCATCTCTCAGCATTATGTAAGACATTTCCGTGTCTACCACTCGTTGAATTTTATGTATTTAACATAAATGATAATATAAGTATTGTTTTTTGTTTTGATTTTAACTCTATTATGGACTTGCTTGCCATATTCTGAAAGAAACCCAGGGAAAAACTAGTCACAGGTTCAGTAATGTATGTATGTCTTATTCTATTCGATAGCCAAGCAGCACAATTCATTGTCACGTTGTGTTTTGAGGATTTTGTGATTCAACCCTGAAGGAAAAACTACGTTTCGTTACTCCAGGAAGCGCTGGAGTGCGTTTCGGAGTGGATCGCCACAACGCTGGCTTCAGTACAAGCAAAAACCTCTCTGTCCGCTTCAGATCTCGGCAAGTATTTGGACAAGGTCAGGATTGGGTTTTAAAACGCCGGAGAAGTCTCCATTTCAGACCACTCGTGCCTTTTATTAAACTATTAACATATTTTCTAAGGAGCTGGAGAGAAACAGTCTTCAGTGTTTAGTCTTTTTGTTTTTTTTCAGGTTGTCGTGCGACAGTGTTAAACTCTGTCTGCTTGTAATCAGTGTATTAAAGTGGACGCAGGGCTATTGTGATAAATAGTCTGTATTAAATCGATTATGTGTACTAGTGGATGGTTGGCATTGGAGGGAAAGTCCACCAGTTTTTCAGAATTTCCACATAACTCACTTGTTAACTCACAAAGTCATTCAGAGTGGTTTGGTGTGAAATGGTTCAGACGTCTATACAGTGGTGGTGATGGGAACCAGGGGTCGCCATGACTACAACACAAATATATACACTTTATTTACTACCAGTGAACCTACTCTTCTGAGTTTTATATGGAATGTTGATGATGGTAAAATATCATAAATCTGAAAAAAATAAGTTTTGTTTGGGGACTATTTTGCCTCACAGCTCCCTACATGTATCCCTCCATCATGAATCGATCATGAAGGCATCAGGCAGCCTTAACTAAAAAAAACAGTGAACCAGCCTTGTGACCAGAAGGTTGCCTGTTTGATCCCCTGAGCTGACAGTACGTGACTGAAATGCCCTTGAGCAAGGCACCCAACCCCCAACTGCTCCCTGGTCGCCATGGATAGGGCTGCCTACCGCTCTGGGCAAGTGTGCTCACTGCCCCCTAGTGTGTGTGTTCACTAGTGTGTATGTGGTGTTTCACTGCACGGATGGGTCAAAATGCGGAGATGAAATTTCCCCGTTGTGGGACTAATAAGGGTCACTTAACTATTCATAACCATTTCATGTAGTAACTCTCTGTGAGGGAGCTTTTAGAGGTGGACGTCTGGTTCCTATCACCACCACTGTGAACAATTCTCACTCCTAGAATGCAGCATTTCACTCCAAACCACTCTGAGCAACTCTTGTTTACATCCTAACCACTTAGTTCTGCAGACATTTAAAAACAAACGTGGAATTTCCCTTTAAATGTCACTCTTTTTGTTGTGAAACTGTTACTAATCTCATCTTTTTCAGCTGAGCAGAAATCCTACAGGATTTTTGTGCCATTTCAACTGAGGTTTTTCAAGACAGTGAAAGTTTATTGGGATATTTTTCAAGTATTCGAGTATTCAGTAATTCATTTTCTGTTCATTTCAGGCGGCTTTTGCTTTCTTTTTCTTTCTTTTTTTTTTGCACATATGGAATAATGTTACGTTTATCGTATTTATTCATAACCCTTGACGTCAGCTAACGTTAGCCTATCACGTGTGTGTGTGTTGAGCTGAGTGGTGTAGTCTGTTGAATGTCTTGCTGTGTTTTATGTCTACTTGAATTGCAGACCAGGCTGTGGTCGGCAGTCTGGCGCTTTTTTTATTGCTAGCTATGAAGCTGGAGGTAATGCTCCATTTTTTTAATGGGAAAAAAACTTGTATGGTCACTTCTGTGGTGCATTTCAAGGGAAAGTTGATAGGCTACTTGTCACATGAGCCGTAACAGTGCAGCGTGTTAAGGTTCTCATCTGGCAAAATAAACCGGACTGAAAATAATCTGCGTTTGTGAAGTTTTTATTTATTATTTGCATTTTGCAAACAGAAATGTGTGCATGCAATAGCACAGGAAGTGTTTATTTATGTGTTTATTTGTTTACTTATATGCATCTTGCAGCAAATAAATATGGGCATCATATTGCATGCAGAGTATTTATTTATTTATTTATTTGGAGAAATATGTGCATGAAGTTTGCAATGAACGTAGTTTATCCTTAACTTTATGCCTAAGAGTAAACGATAATCATAGAAGTGTAAACACACTCTGAGCTGCATTTTAATGTTTAAGTCCTATTATATAAATAATTATTGTATTATTATTATTATTAACATCATTAATCATTACACCCACCAGCAAGAATATTTACAAAAATGATGATAAAGAGAAAGTAAACTTTACAACCTTCATATTTAAGTTTTAGTCCAGATTTTTTATGTACGTGAACCATAAAACTGCAAGGCTCACTAATATGCTTGTGACATCACTGGAACACACAGCAAACAGACTGACCACTTAAATGGAGCTCATCTTCTACGGTGACCCTTAAAGGGACACTGGCCAAAATAAAAACTTTACCCATCTGCTGTGAATGTGCTTATTTGCTTCCTACAGCGGTGCCAAGTAAGATTTTCCAGTGTAAAGCAGACAAACCATGTTCTGATGATGTAGCTTGAAGGTGGGAGGGTCTTTTGAAGAACTATAACTGCTCTGGGGGTATTTTTAGGGTCTCCCTGCTGAAAAAAAAGACAGCATAGGCCTGTATGCATTCTATGGCCTAGCTGGTCATCCAGCATCCAAAACACAACAAATGCTGGTCTGTGCTGTTTTTTCTAGCAGGGATGTCTTAATTTTGGCAAATGCAGAATGATTGCTGGTTTGGTTGTATTTATTACCTTATAGTTTGGTGGCTAAGCTAACAGTCAGGATTGGTTGACACCACAGGGATTGGTTGTATTTGGTTGTATGATGTATTTGCTTAATGCATACTGGTTACTATAGTGAGAAAACATTGATGAATGAACACGAAAATGATGCAGAAGGGTAATTTATTGACCAATCAGTGAAGCTGAGGCCCTGACCATGGACATGTTTACACAGAGTATCTAATAAACAGCTATATGATAAAGTACATTGTATACATATATATATAAACATTGTATAAAGATATTAACATACTTTAATTAGTACTTTGTTGTAATATATTACTGCATTACTCGCCAGAAACAGGCAGTATTATGCAAATATTTTGGCGCCCCGGTCAAATTCCATGTTTTGCTGATTTTCTTAATGAAGATAAGTGAACACATCCTCCACAGAGAACACACTTCTGCACCTTTTAACGCACAATTACTGTTTATGTGCTAAATTAAACTTATTGTGGGGAGGAATAAAATATAAAATATTTCCTGTGCAAAACTTTTGGCTCATTTCATTGTTTATTTTTTTTTTATTGTCTTATTTTTCCCAATATTTTATTTTAAAATCAATTTGACCATGTAAGTTGCAAACGTTTGCATATGACTGTTTACATCATCCCTTCCATTCTTTCCTGTTCATTCTAAGGTGGCGGCGCCCTCTACTGCCTCTATAGTGCATTGCAGGGAATTGCAAAGGGCGTGGCAACGTATATCATGTTCCCCACCCTTTCCTGTGTGTCAGGGCTCTGGCCCCGCCCCTCATGTGATGGGCGTGGCCGACGTGTCCAAACACAAAGGGCAGGACGAGAGGATTCAACATGGGAGGTGGGTTAAAACATCAGCGCACTTTCGCTTAAATCTACCACGCAAACAAGGTCACACAGAGCCCGTCCGGTCACGGCGGCGTGTTTGTGGGTTCTGCTCGTCCTCCTTTACTCTCAGAGCGCTTTAGCGGGCAGCAACTTACAGGAGACCTCCGGACCCTCAGGGCGACATCGGGGCGACATCAGGGCAGGGCTAACTTAGCTGGAGCTTCACTGCAGCTGTCATTGAGTTGCTTCGTGCTTCTTAATAGATTTCTAGGCCGCTTTCTTTGGAGAAAAGAGCGCTTTTGTTGACTTTTGACTCCTCCAGCTCAGCTCTGTAGCTGCGTTTCTAATGTTTCGCTGGTTACGAGGCTGAACTCAGCTTCTTATTCGACTTTTCCCGGTCCACCTTAAATGGTGCAGCAGTTAGATTCTGGTACCAGCTTCTTACTCGCGAACTTGTTCGAATTTTCCCGTTCCACCTTAAATAGTGCAGCACTAAACGTATATTCTGGTACCAGCTTCTTACTCGCCAGCTCTCGGAATTTTCTGGTCCACCTTAAATGGTACAGCATTGACGTTCTTGCTGAGTGTAACTGCTGCACCATTTAAGGTGGAACGGAGAATTCGAACAAGACGCTGGCGAGTCAGAAGCTAGTACCAGAATGTAACTGCTGCACAGTTTAAGGTGGAACGGAGAATTCGAACAAGACGCTGGCGGGAGAGATGAAATAGATACAGGTAGAGATAAAGATGAACAGATAAAAGAGAGAGGGAGAGAGAAAGTGGTAGATAGAGGAGAGAGGTGAAGCAGAAAGATAGAAAGGCACAGGGATGAATAGATAAAAGAGAGAGAGGAAGAAAGAGATAGAGGAGAGAGCGCCGGAGTATAACTGCTGCCCCATTTAAGGTGGAACGGAAAAGTTCACTTCAGCCTCGTTGGCTGGTTTGGGTTTGTAAGGCTTCGTATCCAGCCTGGACTCAGCTGCACTGTCAGCAGTTCTACTCTACCTTTTCCTCCAACTCACCGAAATAAAAACGCTTCCTCGGTTTAGTATTTTATTAGTGGGTTAGTCTGTAATATATAATATAAAGGGTACCTTAAATAATGACACGTAGCGTCCAGTTTGATTCGTATGTTAATTTGGATGCTTGTTTAGGTTTATTTTCCCGCTTAGAGCACCCACTGGTGGCCGAGTGTAACATTGCACCTCTTGGGACGCGTGTTGAACCTTAAAGTTAAAAAAGAATGATATTATATTGTATAATAATATTATATTATTTTGGATGAGGTTGTCTGGCCCAACCAGTTTTTAAATAGTGGCTTTCACCCATTTTTCATGTGTATATATATATATATATATATATATATATATATATATATATATATATATATATATGTATATATGTGTGTATATATATATATATATATATGTATATGTGTGTGTGTGTGTGTGTGTGTATATATATGTGTATATATGTATATGTATGTTTGTATGTGAATGTGTGTGTATATATATGCAAAAATCAGAGACCTCCTTCGTTTAATCTCTAGTCAAGATATTCAGTTTTCAGCATTAGGGAAAAAAGTAGAAAACATGTTTAACAGAAAATTACACAGAAGCCTCAATGATTAAATATAATATCAGACAGAAATTAGGATATATATATATGGTCAAAACTTATGGGGACAGTTTTGATGTCTACCAGGTCTTGCACAGTAGTTAAGAGTCCTGTTTTATCTCTATATTTCTTTCTATATATATTTTTTAGAATTCTATATCTTCTCAGAATTCTATGAAAAATGGACTGGAAAGTAAAGAAGAGTAGTGTATGTGTATACATATATATGTATATATAACCCATCATTATCAATGTACGATTACACTGTTAACAATCTTTGTCTTTTGCACTTCAGACAGCTTCCATGAGCAGTTGAAGGTGGACAGCTGGTTCCTGAAATCTGACCGTCGTCTGGACACGGAGCTGGTGGATAAGCTGATTCTGCAGCTGAACCGAATCTACCCTCAGATCCTCACTGACAAGGAGGCCACCAGGGTAAGACTGCAGCACACCAGGAGAGACGTACACTCCCTGAACAGACTTGTTATCTACATGGCCAAAGGCATTCTGAGGGAACCACCTTCTGAATGCCAGCTGAGGGTGGATCACTGTGTTGCGGAACACTTTGCTGTTTACTCTGCCTGGCCACTTTATCAGAAACCCCTTTTTTTTATAGCTCCAACTTGCTGCTGTGCAGTTAGAGACTGTAGATCATCTTTTGATGCACAGTATGTGTTAGTTATCCTCTAGTAGACACAGCTGTATTTAATGAGGTAGGTGCTGAAATCTGCAGTTGTTTGGCCCACCAGGATTGGAGCTTGACACATGTGGTCTATACAGTGGATATGTAAGTCAGGTGTTTCTAATAAAGTGGCCAGTTGAGTGGAAGTACAAGGTTGGTGTTTCTAATAAGGTGGCCAGTGAGTGAAAGTACAAGGTTGGTGTTTCTAATAAAGTGGCCAGTGAGTGAAAGTACAAGGTTGGTGTTTCTAATAAAGTGGCCAGTGAGTGGAAGTACAAGGTTGGTGTTTAAAGTGGCCAGCCAGTGGAAGTACAAGGTAGGGGTTTCTAATAAAGTGGCCAGTGAGTGGAAGTACAAGGTTGGTGTTTCTAATAAAGTGGCCAGTGAGTGGAAGTACAAGGTTGGTGTTTCTAATAAAGTGGCCAGTGAGTGGAAGTACAAGGTTGGTGTTTCTAATAAAGTGGCCAGTGAGTGGAAGTACAAGGTTGGTGTTTCTAATAAAGTGGCCAGTTGAGTGGAAGTACAAGGTGGGTGTTTCTAATAAAGTGGCCAGTGAGTGTGATAAGGTGGTGGGAATGTTTAAAATGCATTGATATCGTACTCTCATCTACACAGTTCCGGGACCTGGACGTGCCCACCTGTGTGCGTCTGGCTGAGCTGCTGACGTACCTGCAGGACAAAGGCGAGGAGGCATGCAGAGAGTTCTACCGCGCTCTCCACCTGCACGTGGAGGATGTGTATTTCAGTCTGCCCACACGTCTCCGCCGCCGCACAGGTAAGTGTCCATCACAACACCCATATCACAGACCACAGAATGAGGGGGAACTTTCACCAGCCTATAATTGTACAAAGTCCATGTTTATCCCACACATATAGTATTAAATTATCCTCCTCATTCTGTTACATGGAAATAGAGACACTTCGTGTGACTCTTAAATGGGACTATGAAGTCTACCTGTATCACAACCACGCAATAGAAATGGTTTCATCAAATCAAATCGAGGTGACTGAAAACTGTGTGCAATGCAGAACAACATATTCTTCAGTCTGAGGCTCAAATAACCACTCATACAGGCTCCATGGCTCCCTCACTGCTCAAACAGGCTCTGTAATTGGTGCGCTGTAAGAAAGCTCACTGTGATTAGTACTAAACACATAATCACTCTGTCTCAAGACTGTGGTTAGATTCCTTCCAGCCATTCAGACAAAACGTGCATTCTACTTATCTGCTGTTGGGGCTGTTGCCCCTTAAACTCTAAGGGTTGGTTTCCTAGAGAGGGATTAAGCCTAGTCCTGACCTACACAGCATTCTGAATGGAGATTTTACATTGAGAGTAAAGTGTAATCCAAGACTGTGTTTAATCCCTGTCCCGGAAACCGACCTTAAGAGTCTGTATGTGGGCCCACATTTCAGTTCCTCACTCTCATAACTACACAACTTACACATTGGGTTCATAGTAGATACTGAATAATTTATAGTAGATACTGAATAATTCATAGTAGTTATTGAATAATTCCTAATAGATACTGAATAGTTTATAGTAGATACTGAATAATTCCTAGTAGATGCTAAATAGTTCATAGTATTCACTGAAAAACTCATAGTAGGTACTGAAAAATTCATAGTAGATACTGCATTGATAGTAGATACTGAATAGTTAATAGTATTCACTGAATATTTCATAGTATCTACTGAATAGTTCATAGTAGTTACTGAATAATTTACAGTAGATACAAAAAAAAAACATTCAAGTAGTTACTGAATAATTTACAGTAGATACTGAATAATTTATAGTAGGTACTGAATAGTTCAGAGTAGTTACTGAATAATCTATAGTAGATACTGAATAATTTACAGTAGATACTCAATAATTTATAGTAGCTACTGAATAATTCAGAGTAGTTATTGAATAATTTACAGTAGATACTGAATAATTTATAGTAGTTACTGCATAATTCAGAGTAGTTATTGAATAATCTATAGTAGATACTGAATAATTTATAGTAGGTACTGAATAATTCAGAGTAGTTACTGAATAATTTACAGTAGATACTGAATAATTTATAGTAGTTACTGCATAATTCAGAGTAGTTACTGAATAATTTATAGTAGGTACTGAATAATTCAGAGTAGTTACTGAATAATTTACAGTAGATACTGAATAATTTATAGTAGTTACTGCATAATTCAGAGTAGTTACTAAATAATCTATAGTAGATACTGAATAATTTATAGTAGGTACTGCATAATTCAGAGTAGTTACTGAATAATTTATAGTAGATACTGAATAATTTATAGTAGGTACTGAATAATTCAGAGTAGTTACTGAATAATTTATAGTAGATACTGAATAATTTATAGTAGGTACTGAATAATTCAGCGTAGTTACTGAATAATTCATAGTAGATACTGAATAATTTATAGTAGGTACTGAATAATTCAGCGTAGTTACTGAATAATTCATAGTAGATACTGAATAATTTATAGTAGGTACTGAATAATTCAGAGTAGTTACTGAATAATTTACAGTAGATACTGAATAATTTATAGTAGGTACTGAATAATTCAGAGTAGTTACTGAATAATTCATAGTAGATATTGAATAATTCATAGTAGGTACTGAATAATTCAGAGCAGTTACTGAATAATTCATAGTAGATACTGAGTAACTTCTAGCAGACACTGAATCGTTTATAGCAGTAATACTGAACAAGTCTTTAGATCGATTACAGAATAATAATCTTAGAATTTACAGTTAATATTTATCGGTTTAAACCTTCTAGACTCTGTGGATCCAGTCCCGAGTCCAGCCGTCATCCCCACTGACAGATTTGTGTTGAATAAGCAAGGTAATCTGCCTTCACTGCACACAGAGCCGTGGTTTTACATACGTACAATTAAGCATTTCTCTTCTCTCATGATCCTGTTTCCTGTTGATCCAGGGCCGCTGTTCTTTCTGAGCTGTTTCTCTGCAGTTGCAGGAGCAGCCCTGGTATATTACTATGGGGGTAAGAGCTGTTGAAGTGCATTTATCTGTACAATCAAACAAACTAGCCCTTTATATGAAGTGAAGTATGCATTTGCTTTTGGTTGAACTCATCATTCAGTTTTCAGTGAACAGTAGAAATATTAGTATTTTTGATCAGAAATGATTCATAATTCATTTTAACATTTAATTCTGACGATTAGCTGAATAATAAACGAATTCAAGTGTTTTAATAATACGTTTTTACAAAGTCCTCTTTGACCACAAACCACATTTTTGTGTTTGTATTGTGTATGTATGCAGACTTTAAGGCGGCGTCGGGCTCGAGCAGCGCTCTGGGTCTTGCTGCTCTGGGGATCGGGAGGAGGATCAGAGAAGTTCTCATCTGGTACACATAGGACTGACTGTTAACGGTGTTACCATGGAAACCATGGCGATACTGCAGATACCCAGGTTTAAGTGCCTCGCAACATCCGACTTCAGGGTTTTAACATGAATCTGTACATACTGGAGCTGTAAATAATGTAACAACTGCCGTTTTTAAAGCTTCTATTTTTTTCCTCAGAGATGCTGGTGGGTCACACGATGGGCAGGCACTGGTTTAGTATCCCAGCTCATCTGGGATGAGTTGATAAGCGTAGATGAGGAATCACACTCTCAGAAGTCTAAATTGGCCTTAACAGTTACCAAGTACCTGCCATTAGTGGCATGTGTTACTGATTATTATTATTATTATTATCATTATTATTACTATTATTATTATTATATGGTCTTTAGGGTCTGTCTTGTAATAGTACCTCCAGAACAGTGATCACCAACTCTCCTCCGAAAATCTTCCTATTTACAGAGTTCAAATATAACCCCTTATTAGGCTGTTCAGACGAATCACTCCTTTGACCAGATGGATGTTTTTGGTGTTTCTGAGTTTGTGGTTGAACTTGGTAGATCTCCAGGGAGTTGGTGACCGCTGACCTAGAATATATTTAAATGCACCTTAACTACAGATTTGACTGACAAGCCGCACACTCCATATGAAAATGTGTAAAACCACATTCCCTTAATAAAAAATAAAAGTTGTGTGCAGACGTTTGGGCGCCCCCAGTCAAATAACACGCATTTGTTGACTTGCTAAGTAAATATGTGAACACATCCTCGACAGAGACACACCTCTGCACATTTTAATACACAATTACTGTTTATTTACTGAATTTAACATACTGGAAAAAGAAATAATACACCAAAAAAAAAAATACATATATATATATATATATATATATATATATATATATATATATATATATATATCACTGCTGTTGGAAAAAACCTTGTATCTCTGAAATGGTAACTTTACAGGAGAAGGGAAAAACATACTTTACTTTTAATGTAAGTCAATGGAACCAGACTTTTTTCCATGTAATTTTGGGCTGTTCAATGTGAAATTTATGCACAATGTAAAGGACAACAGGCATTTTCCAATTATGTCAAAAACTGAAAAATGATGAGATACGAAGTTTTGCTCCGACTGGAAGTTTCCTTTAATTTGCTGAGATTAAAATATTGGGGGGAAAATATATATATATATATATATATATATATATATATATATATATATATATATATATATATATATATATATATATATTTAAAATACACACCCCAATATTTTAATACATCTTAATATTTTAATCTCAGCCAATTAAAGGAAACTGTGCTGAAAAATTCCATATTTAAGTTTGCTTCCAGTAGAGGATGTTAACTTCTCACAAAACATGTAATTTGACGGGGTGTCCAAACTTTTGCATATGACTGGGGGGCGTCTACGTTACCGTGCTCATAGAAAGCATTGAGGCAGCTGTGGTGCAATTTTGTAAATGGGCATAAAATGAAATATATTTATTAGATATATGGGATTAGATAGATTTTATCAAAAATATCAGTGGAAACTAATAAGGAGACGTTTTGACTTTGCTGCAGGTTGTTTGTCTGGCGAACCTTCCTCTTCTTTTTCCTCTCCATGAGTGTCCACAACAGCAGCAGTACATACCGACAGATAATATCAGCATGTTATAATTGACACTATTCAATTCTGGGGTTTGTTAGCGTTTACAGTGGCAGCTTGTGAGGTGTAACTATGAGTGAGCCTGATATTTCTTTTTTTAATCAGCCTTAATTCGTTGCAGACCTTGAACCTCAAACTCATTTGTATGACTACGACAGTTCCGGCAGCTTCACCTTAGCCAGCAGTGTCCAAACACAGTCGTGGATCAGGGTGAACACTAAACTGTGCAGTACTGTGGCCTTCCCAGACTGGATCTGGACTCCTGATATATATGTATAAATCTATGCACACTTTTCTGTCACTATGCATTTCATTTATAATCACACTATTGGATTTGTACACTAGTCTGCAGGGAACTGGTGTGACCAAGTATAAGCAGTTGTACCAAGTTGGAGTGCCGCCTGTTAACAGTGCTCCTGGCTGCTTTTACACATGCAAGTAAAGCCTGGGTTTGTCGTGTGTTATGGTGGCATTTTAAACACGTGGAGTCAAATGAGTGAGGTTAAGTTTCTGTAGGGGAAAAAAAATCTATGTTAGCATCTCTGGATCTGATTTAGCACCCGTGGCCTTATGTGTTTCTGCACTAAACTTGACAGGGGCATGTTTGTTAAGACTTGCACATAGTCTTCGACGAATTTTAAGTATTTCTGTAAATTGAAACACAACCAGAATTTGGAAAGTTCTCAGTAAGACGAGAGAATGTTAAACCTGTATATCGCTGCTGTCTGGACAAAACCTCATATGTCCGAAACGGTAACTTTACAGGAGAAGGAAAAAACCTACTTTTAATGTAAGTCAATGGAACCAGAATTTTTTTCAAGTCATTTTGGGTCGTTTCTTTTGGTCCATTCATCAGTGACTTTGCACACAATATAAAGGGTAACAGGTATTTTCAAATTATGTCAAAAACTGAAAAACGCCAAAAATGGAGACGCAAGGTTTTGTTCCGACAGCAGCGATATGTCCTAAGGCAATAGTGCTCAACGTGCTTCCAGAGCTCTACCTTCTGGAGATATAACACTTTATAACACTTCTTAAGTAAGTTTCAACCTTAATTTGCTACATCTGGCTCTGAGGTCCAGATGTTTCTGAACAGCTTTGCCTACTGCACTGGCTAAATTTGCTTATGGATGAAACTATATTATATGTGATCTTAAGGAATTGTAACGACAAGCCCTGTTTCCAAAGTAACGAATGTCAGTTCATGTATTTTGACAGTAAAAAAGGACAGTTTGGCCAAAAATGCAAATGTGGCAGCAACCAGTGTAATCAAGCAGGGTATGCTAATCACCCTGCTTCCATTCCTTGTCAGTTGTTTGTCCTTTAAAGGTACTTGGGTTCTGGGTTTCCTTCAGGGTCTGGATGTAAACACTAATTCTGCATATTAATGTCCAGAGTTCCAGCAAGATCTTCATTAAATTCAATGAGTAGCAGGTTGGTCACACATATGCCTTTGAAATATCATCTCAGATTAGATATGTGCCTTAAAATGAACTCTAATGTTGAAGTAACTGCTGTACTGAACTTGTAAAGCATAATAATTCAACTAATACGCAAAACTGTTTGTATATCAATGCCTACATGTGCACAACAGCACCTTGTCTTTTTCCGGTGCCATTTTTACACAACATTAAACTACTTTAAAGACATGAATTTGTGTTTCACAATGATATATTTTCTTCATAATTTCACATCTGAACTTTTTCCTTTTGTAAATACAAAGTAAAACTTTTTACAGTAGTCTTAAACAATAGCATTATAAAGAATCTATTTATTTGGTCCACAATAATAATAATAATAATAATAACCACACAAAAGTGGAACAATAATGCAAACAAATCCACAAATTAAACAAATGTTGCATAAAAAAGGCTAAAATAAAGGCAACAGACTTTTTAATGCTTATTCGTGATCGTCGATAAAGCTCTTGACCAGTAGAGGGCACTCTACCTTAAGGCTTAAAGGCCTTTGACTGTTTTCTGACCACAAAAGTCCTTTTACATTTCTGCTGTCTTGATCTTATCATGCTTCTGAAATATCAGACTTTGAAGACTCAGTCTAAAAGATGTACTACAGTCAGGAAAGCATCTTCATTCTTCACCAAGGCTCCTTGATGCAAACTCACACTTTGGTTTGGATGTATTGAGTTTATAAAAATAAAAGAATCAGCAAGATAGACAGTCCAGTCCTGCTCATGGCCAACGTCCTGCAGAGGCTATTTGCAACTCAAACATATCTCTAATATTCAAATATTCCTAAAAAAATTAAAAAATTATCTTCACTCTTCGAAGGCTGAAATAACGTCTGCAGGATGGAAGCTCTCTGTGAGCAGCATAAGCTCAAATAATAATACATAAAACATACATACAGTAATCATTTGCCTTTTTCTTTAAAGGTGAATTCCACCGATCTTAAAAACAGATGTCACTGGTTGTGGTTTAAACAGAGTCATTCAGAGTAGTTTGGTGTGAAATGGTTCAGATGTCTTTGCAGTGGTGGTGATAGGAACCAGGGGTCGCCATGACTACAACACAAATATAGACATTTTGTATTGTTTGCCATCATGTAATCTTGTGGTAAAATAATGTTAAATCTAAAACTTAAATCTAACTATTTTGCCTCACAGTGCCCTATATCAGAGGTCAGCAACAGCAGAATTAGATTTGTAGGTAAAAATAAAATAATCCTCCAAAATGGCTCTTCTTAACATTTGGGTTGGGACCCCTGGCCTATATGTATCTCTCTACTGTGCATGTATTTCAAAAATAAGTCTTAGACTCTCAAAACACATCATAAATCATCAGGCAGTGCATTTCTAACTGTTTAATGTAGTAACTTTCTGTGAGGGAGCTTTTAGAGGTGGACGTCTGGTTCCTATCACCGCCACTGTGAACAATTCTGACTCAGGAAGTTTCTCTAAAACAGAAAGCCACTTTGAATGACTTCTTTTCTATCTCAGCCATTTAATTAAGCATACATTTAGAGGAATTCCTCTTTGAATGCGCAGTTTATTGCACCTAAAATACTGGCAGTAGTAGACTGGGTGAAAGAGAGAACTGACAGCTGGGCTTCAATGAATGTGGTTTAAAAAAACAGTGGAAATGTGCTTCATTTGTCTTCATTTGCATAATGTAAGATATTCAAATATCCTCAACACAGACTTGTCATATCAAACATGAGAAATTTAAACCAGTTATTAGGAAGTGCTGCGTCTCCGTCACTGCATGCATTCACAGCCTGCTGCTCATGCTGAAGGTTTAGCAGGTTTGTTGGAGAAAGCTTCCTAGCTGGGGTTCTTTCAGACTTGGTGGCTCTGGAGTTCTGTGAGAAACATTTATACACCTGTCAAACCATTCAGTTCAACTTTAGACATGAAAAATACATACAGTACTGATCAAACGTCTGGAATCACTGTTCTATATGATAGAAAACCGAATCTGTTTGCAGATACATGTATAAATGATTCTAATATTAATTCGGTATTCTACATCACAGGTTTCAAATAATAATAATTTTTACAAAACATGACAAAATAAGTGTTAGATGTTTCCATCTTGCTGAACAGAGCTGTGGATGATGAGCAATGAATTAACAAAGAAACAATGAAGAAAATCTATATCCAGAATTCCTCATATTTCAATTCTCGAGGCAGAAAACTTGATAAGAATTTGCCATAAATAAATAATTACATATTTAATTATTGATTTGTCATTTAATAACTTCTAATAACCTTTTTTGATAACTTTTCCCCTCAAACATACTAGAAAAAATATTTAATAACTATTAAAATATTGAAAAAAAATCTTGAAAATACTTTCCAGTGTCTAGGTTTTACAGTAATACACTACAATTACACTGTTTAAGCTATTATTTAATAAAATATCAATTATTAATGTGGCAAGTAATTCCAACTATTAGAACTGTTGTCAAATAAAGCAATAAAAGCCAAAAAAGGTCATGCCTTATGGTGACTTTATCACGGGTAAGGATGTTGTTAGGCACAATGTGAAGCGGAGTAACTCCCTCTCCCCCACCCTCCATGATGAAATCACTGGAATGCACGTCCTCAGCTGGCTTATTGCTTTTATAAAACGCAGGACAGCATGATATATAATAAAATACATCATTTTTCAATAAACAATTCCAGTCCAAGTAACCACAGAGTGCTGAATGAGGAGAACGTTCAGTCGCCCATCGCTGTACACTGTCGTTTTAGGAGCTTCTTCACTTTTTGTCATATAATAATGAACATATCACAATATAGCACTGTGTAATGCAAAAACCTTCCGTTTATAGGTACTTTTTGCTCATTAAATTTTACCGCAACACAGGGCCTCTATGTGATTTCCCTCTCTTAGTATCTAAGTAGTGGTGTTGTATTTCCCTTTCCTACATTGTGCACTTTATAGGGATTAAAATATTGGCTCCTGCACCCAAAATGTCCTACAAAGTTCTGGTTATTTGATGCATTCATGTGATTCTTTTGCACATTTGGCTACAACGAAAGTCATTTTGCATCAGATTGAGGTTGGTTAATATACAGTCAGAAGAAAAACTGCACATCTAATCTGCTTTGTGTCTGGTTTGTATTACATCGTGGTATTTTAAGGTCATTTAGTCTGGGTGAGTTTGTGTCTTTCCCTCAGAACAGAAATCTGCCTTCAGTCTATATAAAAGGGGCATGTTTTGGCATGTGGCTGTCTTTACCTGAAGAGAGGCTGGAGGCATGTCGGTTGTCACGGCGGCTACGCCCCAGTGTTCGGTTTCTGTACGCCGAACGCCGTGATCATGACGTTTACTACGACGATGATGAAGACGAGGGCTGTGCTGATGTTTTCCAGAAGGTTCAGCTGGTAGTGTTTACTTTCATCATTCAGGTCCCACTTCACTAAACAACAAGGACAGAAAGACATGGAAGAATCAACAAACAGAGGCTCATCTGGACAAACTACACAGTTCGGCGTCCTCCGAGTTCAGATACACCTGAGTGGAGTCATCAGCCGATTACTGCGTTAAAGCAGGAAAGACTCTTAAAGCTGAACGAAATGCAGACAGAATCTGCACTTCAGAGTGGCTTTAAAAGAGGCACTGAGCAAAATGAGAAACGTAGCACAAAACTACGTCTGGTTAAATACAGTGCTGCAGCGTCTCTAGAGCGAGATTTTCTGTTTTAAAGACGAGGTGACGCCCCCTTCTGATGATGATCTTAAAGGCAGGAGGAACGTCTGAAAAACTACAAGGACGGATACTTGAGTGTGGGTGGTTTAAAATGTGTATGTATGTGTGTGTGGTATGTTTTTGCGGTGTTTGTGTGATGTGTGTGGTGTTAGTGTGGTATGTTTGTGTGGTTGTGTGCTATGTGTGGTGTTTGTGTGGTATGTCGGTGTGATGTGTTTGATATGTTTGTGTGGTGTTAGTGTGGTATGTGGTGTTTCTGTGGTATGTGTGGTGTTTCTGTGGTATGTTTGTGTGGTGTTTCTGTGGTATGTTTGTGTGGTGTTTCTGTGGTATGTGTGGTGTTTCTGTGGTATGTTTGTGTGGTGTTTCTGTGGTATGTGTGGTGTTTCTGTGGTATGTTTGTGTGGTGTTTCTGTGGTATGTTTGTGTGGTGTTTCTGTGGTATGTGTGGTGTTTCTGTGGTATGTTTGTGTGGTGTTTCTGTGGTATGTGTGGTGTTTCTGTGGTATGTGTGGTGTTTCTGTGGTATGTTTGTGTGGTGTTTCTGTGGTATGTGTGGTGTTTCTGTGGTATGTTTGTCTGGTGTTTCTGTGGTATGTGTGGTGTTTCTGTGGTATGTTTGTGTGGTGTTTCTGTGGTATGTGTGGTGTTTCTGTGGTATGTGTGGTGTTTCTGTGGTATGTGTGGTGTTTCTGTGGTATGTTTGTGTGGTGTTTCTGTGGTATGTTTGTGTGGTGTTTCTGTGGTATGTGTGGTGTTTCTGTGGTATGTGTGGTGTTTCTGTGCTATGTGTGGTGTTTCTGTGGTATGTGTGGTGTTTCTGTGGTATGTGTGTGTGGTGTTTCTGTGCTATGTTTGTGTGGTGTTTGTGGTATGTTTGTGTGGTGTTTCTGTGGTATGTTTGTGTGGTGTTTCTGTGGTATGTGTGGTGTTTCTGTGGTATGTGTGTGTGGTGTTTCTGTGGTATGTTTGTGTGGTGTTTCTGTGGTATGTTTGTGTGGTGTTTCTGTGGTATGTGTGGTGTTTATGTGGTTTGTGTGGTGTTTCTGTGGTATGTTTGTGTGGTGTTTCTGTGGTATGTTTGTGTGGTGTTTCTGTGGTATGTGTGGTGTTTCTGTGGTATGTGTGGTGTTTCTGTGGTATGTTTGTGTGGTGTTTCTGTGGTATGTGTGGTGTTTCTGTGGTATGTTTGTCTGGTGTTTCTGTGGTATGTGTGGTGTTTCTGTGCTATGTTTGTGTGGTGTTTCTGTGGTATGTGTGGTGTTTCTGTGGTATGTGTGGTGTTTCTGTGGTATGTTTGTGTGGTGTTTCTGTGGTATGTTTGTGTGGTGTTTCTGTGGTATGTGTGGTGTTTCTGTGGTATGTTTGTGTGGTGTTTCTGTGGTATGTGTGGTGTTTCTGTGGTATGTTTGTCTGGTGTTTCTGTGGTATGTGTGGTGTTTCTGTGGTATGTTTGTGTGGTGTTTCTGTGGTATGTTTGTGTGGTGTTTCTGTGGTATGTTTGTGTGGTGTTTCTGTGGTATGTGTGGTGTTTCTGTGGTATGTTTGTGTGGTGTTTCTGTGGTATGTGTGGTGTTTCTGTGGTATGTGTGTGTGGTGTTTCTGTGGTATGTTTGTGTGGTGTTTCTGTGGTATGTGTGGTGTTTCTGTGGTATGTTTGGTGTTTCTGTGGTATGTGTGGTGTTTCTGTGGTATGTTTGTGTGGTGTTTCTGTGGTATGTGTGGTGTTTCTGTGGTATGTGTGGTGTTTCTGTGGTATGTGTGGTGTTTCTGTGCTATGTTTGTCTGGTGTTTCTGTGGTATGTGTGGTGTTTCTGTGGTATGTTTGTGTGGTGTTTCTGTGGTATGTGTGGTGTTTCTGTGGTATGTTTGTGTGGTGTTTCTGTGCTATGTTTGTCTGGTGTTTCTGTGGTATGTGTGGTGTTTCTGTGGTATGTTTGTGTGGTGTTTCTGTGCTATGTTTGTGTGGTGTTTCTGTGGTATGTTTGTGTGGTGTTTCTGTGGTATGTGGTGTTTCTGTGGTATGTTTGTGTGGTGTTTCTGTGGTATGTTTGTGTGGTGTTTCTGTGGTATGTGTGTGTGGTGTTTCTGTGGTATGTTTGTGTGGTGTTTCTGTGGTATGTGTGTGGTGTTTCTGTGGTATGTTTGTGTGGTGTTTCTGTGGTATGTGTGTGGTATGTTTGTGGTTTTAGTGTGGTGTGTGCAGTGTGTGCAGTATCCCTGTGTGGTATGTTTGTGTGCTGTTTGTGTGGTGTGTGCGGTGTGTGCAGAATCACTGTGGTGTTTGAGTGCTGTTTGTATGGTGTGTTTGTGTGGTGTTTGTGCGGTGTGTGCAGTATCCTTGTGTGGTGTGTGCAGTACCCCGTGTGGTGTTTGTGTGGTGTGCCTGGAGGCTGAGTGTTGGTTGAGCAGGTTGTTATGATAAGGCCCTGTATACACCAGTCTCCACACACGGCTGAGCGGCTGCAGTAGCAGAACTGGAACTGGGTATTTCCATCCAGGGTTGTTATTCACAGCAACATTAACATCATATCGTCTTCACTGTTTCCCACAGGTCTGAAATAAACGTGGGGAATCAAAGGGGTCTCTGTTTTTAGGAAAAGCGGACTGCTTAGCTTTAGGAAGTGCAGACTGAGACCAGGAGCGTCTGTTTAACAGCAGGTCAAACTGTTTAACAGCTAAAACCTCAGCTCACTTCAGCTGTTACACTATTTTGATTAGCTGATTATGTTGCGGCTACAGTAGTATGCAGAAGTTTCAACACCTTCGTTCAAATGATATTTTTTGTTGATTTTCAAAGAAAATATGCCATAACGTTCGCACAGGACACATTTTTCCCAATATGTTAAACTGGTTGCTTGCTAATAGAAAAAAAGCTGATTGATTATTGATCTCAGTTGAGTAGAATAACCTAACTTAGAGATAAGATGCTGGAAGATAAGATATAATTCATAAATTAACCCTCTACTGCACGTGTTATGAGAGCAATTAAAAAAGAAAATATTCAATTCCCTTTTCTTGCATAAAAACACCAGATTATTAAATATCAAAACAATTTTTAAATTTAATGTGTGCAGGGGTCATTTTGAAGTATGTTGCCTTGAGGCAACATTGTGCGGCAATGAGAAGAAATGATATAGAGTTGTGTTCCCTGAAGTGGTGAGATCTGGCTTCTGACTGGCTAAATCCATTCCACTGTTTCACAATGTTGCTTCTAGGCAACAAACATATTTCTGCAAATTCTCATAACAAAAAAAATGAGACTGAATGTTTAAAAAGAGGTTTAAAAGTGCCCACTAAGAGACAGTATGACCAGGAACATGCTTTTTGTTGACATACTTAAACTGTTCCCTTTGTTATTAACCCTGTCATTGCCTTTTAATATGGACAATGTTATTGTAAAGTGAGGAAAATGAGTTTGTTGCCCTGAGGCAACATTGTGCAATAGAGGGTTAAGACTCTGTAATATGACTTTGTGAATTATCCAATGTTAAATTTATCAAATCTTAAATTTGGACTAAAGACAATAAAGTTTCTGTAAGATGAACTATTTGAAAACTAGGCTGAGTTCAGATCTCTGTATGTCAACTCTGGTCCTGGAGATCTACCTGCAGAGACTAGTTCCAACCACAGTCTGCCACACCTGCTCCAGCTGATTAACTTCTTTCCAAGACCCTGATTGGCTGGATCAGATTCATCAGTGTTAAGTAGGGAGGCACGGCAGCTTGTTAGATCCAGGCTTAAACTAAACTCCAGGAGGAGGGTTGCTGACCACTGCTGTATGTACAACCACATTTCCAAAAAAGTTGGGACGCTGTGCAAAATGTAAATAAAAAACAAAATGCAATGATGTGCAAATCATTTAAACCCTGTATTTCATTGAAAACAGTACAAAGACAACATAGCAAATGTTGAAACTGAGAAGTTGTATTCTTTATTGAAAAAAATTTGCCCATTTTGAATTTGATGCCAACAACACGTTCCAAAAAAAATTGGGACGGGGCAACAAAAGGCTGGCAAAGTTGTGTAATGCTAAAAAAAAACACCTGGTGGTTGATTGGGTATAAAAGAGCATCTCAGAGAGGCTGAGTTTTTCAGAAGTAAAGATGAGGAGGGGTTCACCACTCTGTGAAAGACTGCACGATCAAATAGTGCAACAATTCGCAAGAATAATGTTTCTCAACATAAAATAGCAAAGAACTTTTGCTTTTCATCATCTACGGTACATAATAACATAAAAGATTCAGAGAATCTGGAGAAATCTCTGTATGTAAGGGACAAGGCCAAAAACCAGTATTTGCTGGCTGTGATCTTTGGACCCTCAGGCGGCACTGCATTAAAAACAGACATGATTCTGTAGTGGAAATCACTGCATGGGCTCAGAAACACTTCTGAAAACCACTGTCTGTGAAAACAGTTTGGTGCTGCATCCATAAATGCAAGTTAAAACTCTAAAATACAAAGAAGAAACCGTATATAACCAAAATCCAGAAATGCTGTCACCTTCTCTGGGCCCGAGCTCCTTTAAACTGGACTGAGAGGAAATGGAAAAGTGTTTTGTGGTCTGCCGAATCAACATCTTTCCAAATTCTTTTTGGAAATCATGGACACTGTGTCCTCCAGGCTAAAGACAACTCAGCTTGTTATCAGTGCACAGTTCAAAAGCCAGTATTCATGATGGTATAGGGGGCATTAGTGCACATGGCATGGGTGATGTGCACATCTGTAAAGGCACCATTAGTGCTGAACAATATATATATGTTTTGGCAACATATGCTGCCATCCAGACGACGTCTTTTTCAGGGAAGGCCTTGATTATTTCAGTAAGACAATGTCAAACCACATTCTGCATGTATTACAACAGCATGGCTCTGTATTAAAAGAGTCCGGGTGCTAAACTGACCTGCCTGCAGTCCAGACCTGTCACCACTGATAACATTTGGCACATTATGAAATGACAAATGTGACAAAGGAGACTCTGAACTGTTGAGCAGCTGAAATCCTGTATCAAACAAGAATGAGAAAACATTTCACTTTCTAAACCACAGCAGTGTCTCCTCAGTTCCCAAACGCTTACAGAGTGTTGTTAAAAGAAGAGGTGACGCAGCACAGTGGTAAACAGGCCCCCGTCCCAACTTTTTTGGAATGTGTTGTTGGCATCAAATTCAAAATGGGCAAATATTTTTCAAAAAGCAATAGAATTTCTCAGTTCCAACATTTGTTTTGTTGTCTTTGTACTATTTTCATTGAAAGACAGGGTTTAAATGATTTGCACATCATTGAATTTTGTTTTTATTTGCATTTTGCACAGCGTCCCAACTTTTTTGGAAATGGGGTTGTACTTGAATAAACACATCCATCACTAATCTCACCTATGAATATGAGCAGGATTCCCACCACGACCTGCAGGATGAGGGAGATGCTGATGAAGGCGATGAGTCCAGTGTAGAAGCTCAAGGATGGACCCTGCTCTAGCACGGCCTTTAGCTGAGAAGCGTTAGCCATTAGCAGCGCAACGTCCAGCATGCTCTCCACCGCACTCTTCTTATTGGCGTAGGTGTTCATGTTGAGAGGACGCGTCATCCTGCTATACCTGGCAGGCCGTGGAGCCTGAACGCCCACACACACAACACAGATACAGAAACACTGTTATTACAGCATCCAGACCAAAGAGACACGCGGTAATTAACCTGGAGTAGGAAAGCTAGCAGAGTGGAGGTGCAGGGTGCTTTCTGAGAACCATGAAGAGCAGATTACATGTCATCACTGTCATATCAAGGGCCAGATTTACTACGAGAGGTGCCAATTACCCACTGTCCACAGACGGTTTGTGCTGGTAGGGGGGCAACTTAGTGGGTTATTATCTAAGAACTTTCAAACAAGTGAACACAAACACACCTTCAGGATTGACCAGTGCGGTCTGCAGTGCTCAAAAGCAGTCTTGGAGGACAATTAATACAATTTGTGTCATTTTTTTACTTTTTTTCCAATCTAAAATTATCATTTATTCATTTCTGTCCATCAGAAACTGTCAGGGCTGGTTTTCCCAAAAGCATCTTAGCACGGATTATTTGGAAATGGAGGAGCGAGCAGCACAGTGAACACTCTCTCTCCCAGCTAAGATGATCTTAAGACGAAGGCTGGCTTTACACCGTGAAATTTCCCTGCAAGTTCAGTTGCTTGAAAACTACGTAAAACTAAACTGCATGAGGTGCACGACGTGAGGCGTCCTGCAACTCATTTGAAACTCAGCTGCAACAATTTTGAAGCAAGTTTCACAAAACAGCCAATCAAAATCAAATCATGTCGACCAACAAGCATTAAAACCACTGCGTTCACTGGACCAATGGGCCCCCCACCCCCCAACAACGGACTTTAGGTTGGCAGTTTTTCTTTTCCTTAGTCTTCTGAACTACGACAAACATGAATTTCTCCAAGCTAATGTTCCTGTGACCAGCTGCTATAGTTAGCCAATTAATGCTAACACATGCTATGAGCAAAGCAAAGTAAAGTCTGCACACTCAACGGTCATATTTGCAACACCGCCGGCAGCTGTTTCGAGCCAGACTCCTCTCTCTGAATGGGGAGAGACCAAAATACTCGAAACTGAAGGTCAAATTACCGTTTCAAAAACATATTTATTTAAAATCAGTAAAGTCCGACAAAAATCTCATAGTTTGTAGCGTTTGGCTGAATTTTGCACACAAAGCGTCTTTTTTCCGGTTGTTCTGGCTGCTGCGCTTGCGCAGACCCCCACAGCGAGGGGGCTTTCCCCGCTCATGGCGTAACCAGCAAGCTGATTGGCTCTTTTTCTTGAAGGGCGGGACTTACTCTGTAAACAGACGCCTTGTTGAGCGTTACAAGCTTTCCCATTCATATTTAAACCAGCGGCCGGTCTCCTCCTTTATAGCGTCTCTGCTGTAAGAGGCTGTTACTGTGATCTCTGTAGCCAGATTATTTTTTCCTTTCCTGACATCCTTATTTTACACAACGCTCAGATTTATTTGGGAGGTGATCCGCTATGAAATTGCTGTGCTTCTAGGACTGGACGAGTGAGACATCAAGTTGGCTATAACTGCGATATCTAATTAGACATTAATGGCTTAACATGGACACAACATATAAAATAGACATATATAGTTCAGTGCATCAAAAAATACAAGCTCCCAATTTGGCTGACTAGTATAGTCATCAAATGTGTGTGCAGCTGTTTTTTATTGCCTTGTGTAACTGGAAATTATATTGCAGGCAGCTCACAACATGCATGAAGACTTCACTGTATAAATCCAGCCTAAGATGCTTTCGGGAAACTGGGCCCAGGTTTACTAAATGAAAGTCAAAGTGACCCCAGTAATTCACTGAAAACTTTAAGACCGATAAAAATTGTATGCAAAAGGTTGAACACCCATGGTCAAATGACGTGATGATTTTCTAAGTGAAAATAAGTTAATATAGGCAACTCAAATATCATAAATATAAATATCATATATAATAAATATGACGTTTTCTGCCCATTTTAGTGCAGTTTCTATTTATTTGCTGAGTTTAACAAATTGGAAAAACAGAAAAAATAATCTATGGCATAACTTTCAACAATTTTTATGTTACATTCAGCAGTAATAGTTTATTAAAATGTGCAGGAGCGTGATCTCTGTAGGGGATGTGTTTACTTATTTTCACTGACCAAAGGCGCCCAAACTTTTGCACAGGACTGTATCTGTAAGACCAGTAATCTTTTTCACAGGCATTTTATTAGCGAACGACAGATTCATTCAGCTCGGTATTTTGGAGGATGTTAATTAAAACGCTGAGTTGGATGGCGGTTCTTCAGGCGAAGCGTTCACGATCTGATAAAGGTGCCTTAAAGGGTTCTTTAAACGATGCTGTAGAAGAACCACTTTTGGTTCCCTGAGATGAGATAAACCTGTTTACATTTTGAAGAACCTCCACATAATGTCAAGGTTTTAGGAAGAACCCTTAAATTTGTAAAGAACCATTACATCTCATGACGTTTCTGCAAATTTGGAAAAGGTTCTTCCCAATTTCATGTGAATAAAATGTACAGCAATGACTCATTGACTTATTGCTGCAAGATCCTGTTTGAATCCGGTTTCTAACACATTCAGCAATTTTTTTCCCCTCCTGAAGATCATTTTGTATTTTCATCAGTTTGTATGAATCATAAAATATCCCAGCTGGAGGTTGAAGCACAATTTTTCAAGGCTCTGCTCTTTCGCCTCTTGGCTTTATGTTGAAAACAGTGATATATAGTCTCTGTGACTTTGTGTTTAATGTTCTGTTCAGAATAAAACATGGATTTTGCGAGTTTAACTCACTGAGATATCGGTTAAATTTTCCTATTCAGTTCTTGAACAGTCCAGTCTGGCCACGCTTTGGTGTAATTACGAAACCAGGGTAAAATTCCAGGCCTGTGCTTTTCCCAGGGAGGAAATGAAAGTAAGCTTGGGGTTTACAGCAGGACATGAGAGAGGAAGTGAAGGGATATGGACAAAGCTCTTTACCTCACTTCCTTCCTCAGTTTTTGGACCAGTGACTTCAATGGATGGTCACTGGAATTTCTTGGAATTCATAGGCCTTATTAGAAACAGTCCCTGCACATTATGGTTCTGAATACGGTCCTTATGACGTTATGATGGTCCTGATTGAATCTGTGTGTTTGATCAGTTTCGGTGTATGAAATATAATATATATAATTCAGCTGAAGCTAAAGCAATAATATTTATAGTAAGTTTCACTCCAGCAGGTTCAAGCCAGTGGCATTCAGCACATGCGCCGACACTCGTTTTGGTTTTTCTCAGCGCGTTTTAGGCTCAACATTTCTGTCCTTTTATGTGGGTATTTTAATAAATATGTGATAAATTTGTGTTGGGTTAACATTATATTTAAAGCTTTAGGCTAAAACAAACTTTGGTTTGAACACATATAGAGATTCAGGGTAAATATTACACCAACTACAGCTGATGTGGCTCTGGGTAAACTGGGTAAACTAATGGGTTATATAGACATATAGCTCAGTTAACTTACCCTTAATACAGGGCTTTATGTGTTCACTCACATTACATATGCAGGAATAAAACTACCTTAAGCAGCTCAAACTGAGCATAATATTAATCTTTAGGCTAAAACAAACTAGTTTTTTGAACGTATCCCTGCTGAAAAAAGCCAGAGAAACCATTAAGTGTTTCTTTTGGTTACTGATGGTTTTGTGATGTGTTTTGGTTTATGGTTTAACCGCTTACCAGTGGCTGATTCATATATTGTCAGCAGTTTCCCTTCCTGAATGATAATCTGCATGGCGACACCTTCACCCAGCACAAACAGTCGCTGTTTACATCTGAGACGTTATAAATGAGGAGTCTGGCCACTGGTTGAAATATGAATGGGACGCTCGGAACTTTCCTCTGTTTACATGGCACAATGGCGCTGTCCTACTGCGTATGCGTTCCACTGGCCTTAAACTGCTGGAGTGAAACTGCTGGTGTAAATCTGTGGCTCTGCAGTCAGACCTTTCTCAGCCAAAGACATCAGAGATCTGAGAAAGTTTACACCCAGCCACACAACACAGATGCAGTGATACAGATAGCAGGATTTTACAAAGTGCAGGGCTGTACAGACTGTAACAGACAATACCAATGAAAAATAAATCTAAATGGCCAGAATCACATATTTGTTGTTGCAATAAAATTATACACCATTAAAGGGCCAAAATCATGGAAGGACACATTTTCTTTACTTTTATGGAATAAAAGAGGTGGATTTGGTATGTGAACACTGTTAAAGTTTCATAGTTTTGAAACACACCATTCACTTTCCAACCCATACAGTCCATATGAGGAAACTAAGCTGCCTGTTTTGAAAGAATTGTTTTGCGATGTCACAAAAACCAACACATTTGCATAAATATGCTTATTCAATCTACAGTGTTTTAGCCCTGCTGAAATTTTGTTAAGCACTGCTTTTTGGATACAGGGCAATCCTGAGCTCATTTACATACATCAGTCTTAAAGGCACAATAACAAAAATACCTATTAAATTCTAAGGGGTAAAGCAGAAGTTGGAAAATGGTCATGTATAAATAAATAAGATCTTTTTTGTTACATAAAACCACATAAACATACAAAGGAAAAATAAAATAAAAGAAAAATGTTCTATATAGGCACTAAAGCGTACACTGAAGAGCTGTATTATTTATATTAATAATTCATGCATGAAGCCTTTGGCTAATGAAATCACTGTGCATGGTTCTAGACAGTGAGAACATGAATACAGAATTGGCTCTGGACAACAGAAGTGTAAAAGTTCTAGTGTGTGTTGTAATGTCTGGTGTAAACACAGTGTTGCCATGACCAGTGATAATGGCATTTGCCATTTACGACCTGGAGAGATGCTGAATGGTGGGCTGTAACAGTATGGGGGGGCCACTGGGGTCACTTGAGTTCAATTTTTCTCCATCAACAGACAGAATGAGTGTGATTTGTGTTCTACAATGCAACTCCAGTTCTACAATAGTCTGCTAGCTTTTGAGTTTGAGTTATGTTTCACACAGACTCTCAGCCCCAACACCAACCAGCTACACCCAGCCATAGTGT